ATTAAGGGTATCCTAATTATTATTATTGACATTTTCTGTTTAAACTTTAAACTGAAATGGAAGGCATTATGTGGAATCAATAATCATTCCATGGAATTTATCAACAGTTTTTCGTATAATTTACTTTAAAAGCATCTGATACAAATAAAAAGGTGTACAACACAAATTTTTCTTTACCAACAGAACATTTCACTTGGTGTAAAACTAAAGATAAAGCACAGAAAACTTATACAAACTAATTACCTTGATGGAAGAACAGCAAAAGGAACAGGCGTTGAATCGATATAGAAGGTTGTAGAGCAAAAGGATGCATAAGAACCCTAACCTTTATTAATATTTATGATCTATTCCGGAGAAGTAGAGAAACTTGAATCGTCATCTTGGGAAATCACTTTGGGAGGGAAGTCTGTCTGATGTCTGAAAGCATTGACAAGTTGTACATGATGAAGAACCTGAGAGAAGGGATTTCAAGAGAAACCTTAAGAGTAGTGATGAAGAAACAAAGACAGTTTTTACCCTCTCAACTCACCAAACCACAAGTCCAACATTCAATGTTGGGATACAAACACACGGATCCAATTGCCCCAACTGGTTTTCAGGAAGATGATCAAAATCGAGAGATGAAGATGAGTAAGTATTTGATAACTAACTAAACTGAGTGTTTGAAATCGATAAAACCATACTTGAGATGGAGTGAGATGGAGCGAGCAATGGAAAGTGAATCTAGAAGATGAAGATGAAAGCAACAATTGGAGAATGAATTGAACCCTGACCGTACAATTGGAGAATGAATTGCCTCATTGTCTCCGACTTTCAATTTGGCATGCATGTCATACAATCTTCTTTTTAACTTAGTTTTGATTAAACCGGTCAAAGGTTTATCATTTTGTCACTTATCGTCCTCTAATTTCATACACACAACTATATGTCTTTATCATTCACACTTACACTGCAAGAAACTGGGCTATTATCAACTGAATAAATCATCGGTGGTTGATGAGAAGAAAGTGTTTAACCCTCGGATTTCCGTCTGATACAATCCGAGGGGAAGTGTTTGGCCAGAAAATTTTCATCTATCCACATTTTCCGACTCCGTTAAAGTATTATCAATAATCAGTTAACTGCGGTAATATTTTACAAAATAAATTTTGTTTCCATGGAATATATCGATCAGAGACCGATTGGTTAATTTCCGAGGAGATATTAACGATGGATATCTGATGGACCACGTTTCCGACGGATCATCAACAACCATGACCAACTCAAAACCAGTGTTTATTATTTAATTGACCAAAGTTTACCTACCATTTACACATGAATTACCACTAATTTTAATTATTTCTAGAAAAAAACACAAGATTTTCCTCGAATCATGGTGGATTTTTTTTCCGAGAAATCACTACAATAAAATTGGCTTTATAGGACGCCTATTTTTTTAAAGCGTCTTAATTGAATACTTTATAAAACTTAGGTTTATAAGATCAACCAAAAAGCAACCTATATATATATATATATATATATATATATATATATATATATATATATATTGTTACAACAAGTTTATATGACGCTTTTAAGCATTTTAACAAGTTCTTTTACGACGCTTTTAGAATAAAGTGTCTTATTAGCTATTTTATAAGACGATTTTGAGAAATATCATGTAATCCCATGTTTTTGTAGGCCACTTTTGTTTATAGAACATGTTTTCAAATATTGTCTTATAAAATAATTAATATGATACATTATTTTAAAAGCGTCTTACTAAATTTGTTAAAACGTCTAAAAACGTTCTATAAATTTGTTAAAGCCCAACTAGATCCATGAAATCCCAATAAGACCAAATAAAGGAAACAAAGATCCACTAAAGCTCAATAAGAACCATTAAAAGTCAACTAACATCCATTAATGTCCAATACGACCAAATAAAGCCAATAGATTCGTTAAATCCCAAAAAGAAACATTAAAGCCTAACTAACATCTATTAAAGACCAACAACACCCATTAATGCCTAATAGATCCTTTTATGATCATTGGTGACATGTTACGTGTTTGTGAGAATAATGTACTACAGTCTGCATATATGTATGTGGTGTGTATTGGGCTCAACTAAGACCTGTTAAAGCCCAACAATACATTTTTATGACTTATTAAAGACCAATAATAGCAATGACATGAGATTACATGTTTGTATATCTATACTATATTATAAAATATTTGATAAAAACTTTTAAAAACCAATTTTTACGCATGAAGTACTGTTTATTAATTCATATTACTTAAAATTTAAGATTACAAGTAAGTTGGGCATAAGTACAACTTATTAAAGCTCTATGTTTGAATTCGTGTAACTAACTGCTAATAAACATAATCAAATACATGATAAACATCTCATTTTAAATATAAAAAATGCTAAATATAATTAGGATACTCATTGAGTTCTGACAGAATATTTAATGATTATCTTTATAAAAAAAAATTATATTATTAAACCTAAATTAAATTACTTCGTTACGTTAAATTAAATTATAATAAAATTTTTGAATTAAAGAAATTACAAAAAATTAGAACTTTTAAATAGTTATTTTGATACTAACATTGATATATATATTTTTTTCAAATTTTTATGATATTTTCAAATTTATATCTTATTCAAAAATAAAAAAAAACATTATCGCTTTCTCAAAACCACATAGAATCGTATTATATCGATATAGATACATAATAAAACGAAACATTAAAATCGAGATGTGTCTCGATGCATTGCACAAGTACCCTTCTAGTAGGTATGTTACGCATACATGTATGTATACGTATTGGACTTGATTGATCAACTATATTTACTATGTGGTATATATATAAATATTATACATACATATATATACATATAGGGGCTTGTTCAAATGCTAAATTAATTATTAAATTAATATTTGAATAATAAACGTTTATGATTTAATGATATTTAAAAATTAATTATTAAATTAATATTTTCAATTAACATATGTGAACAAAATATCAAAGGGTATTTAGGTAAAAAGTAATCTATATTTGATACACAAGTTGTCAGACATATGAACAACTTGTGTATATCCTCAAAACACATCAAAAAAAAAATTAGACATCTGAACAACATGTGAACCGTATGAACATCTTCTGCATATTTAGGAGCCAACTCTGTTGTATGTACATGAACACCTACGAAGCTTGTGTTCACATGAATCACAGATAATRTTCATATTCATGTGATGTGATTGTGCATATGTATCGATATGAACATCTATTGTCTTTTATATGTGTTCATTTAAACGAATTCAAATGTCATACTAATCACTTACCAATAGGAACGCTTTGATCATTTTCTTCATTATCGGAATTCGAATTGTGAATGTAGTCGTAGACGATTTTGTCATTTCCATTGTTGTCAATCTGTTTTTCAATAGGATTATCCATATTACTCGGACGATACGGAGATCTCTTACACTTGCGAAAACAATATCATTATATGTAGAACATCATTTGTAAACTATGATCATGAACACGTATGAAAATAAAATTCAATATTACATCATGATCAGTTAGTGAGATCTTTAAGATTTGTAACTCCCAATTAATTATTAGGGAGTTACATAAATGTCAAATTACATAATTACCCTTGTATTTAATATATGAGTTACATTTGAACATAAATAAAAAATGGAATATGATTAGTTAAGTTTGGTTAGTATAGTTAACACAAATTTCTTGGTTAGTATTTGAACCAAACTCCATATATATATATATATATATATATATATAGTTTGTTTCAAATACAACCCATCGTATTTGTACAACCAATACAACCCAATATATTGTGATATTTATGGAAATGATGAGAGTTCATTTATTATGAATTTAATATTTATGGAAGATGAATATGATTCATTAATATGATCGATACCTTATATTAGGAAACAATAAAAACTTCTATGAAATCACACATTAATCAAAAGAAATGGACGGTTGAGATTGAGTTGTATTGGTTGTACAAATGTCAAAGGTTGTATAATAACCAACCTCTATATATATATATATATATATATATATATATAACCATGAAAAACAAAAAAAAAGACATTTTTTTAATTTTAAAATATTAAAAAATAAAATTACCGGCAGATGTCTTTAAATCCATCGGTAACTCTAATTAAAAAAGATTTCTATGTTTTCCGGCGGATGCCGATAGCCACCGAAAAATATAGAAATATTATTTTTAAGGAATATATATATATATAGACTTGGGATCATATGAGACGAGCCTGTTTTCGTGAGACCCGTGAGATCAATATTTTACACTTGAAACTTCACAGCAAAATGCTGTGAAGGTGACTTTTTAAAACCTTCACAGTGTTTTTGCTGTGAAGGTTACGTGTAAAAATGTGGTCTCACGGGTCTCACGAAAACAGGCTGGTCTCACGTGAACCCAACCCTATATATATATATATATATATATATATATATATATATATATAATTGATTTTTACATTTTCTAACGAAAAATTGTAAAAATCTTATTTTTTATATTTTTTCAAAAAAAACAAAAAATAATTAACTTTAATAACATTACGTTATCGATATATTACTGACGGATTTTAATTTTGAAAAATTAATTAACATCCATTGGTAATTTAATGTAATATTTTTTTTATATTAAATTTTTTTTTATTCTGTCGGAAATATGGTCGGGATAAATTTTTAACAATATTTAATGGGTGATTTCTGGCAGAAATTAATGGAATTTGACTTTTTTTAATGGCCGTCGGAATCCACCAGTAATTTTCATGTAATAATTTTCCCGAAAAATACGCCAAAAGAATTCATATTTCTAGTAGTGGAATAATTATGTATTGGGACTTTCCTCATGCATTGTCATGCTTGTGTAATCTTTATTATCATAAACTTTAAAAACTAAAACTGCTACAAGTTCTCTAGAAAAAGGTGAATAACATCAATTTGTTACATGCAAATTAATATTTTGATGATACACGGATTTTCTTTGATAGTACATAAACGGCGAGCCAAACGAGTAGCAGAAGTTCTATGGAGGACATGAGTGACAAAGCGATAGATCCTTTTAAGTGACGACAATAGGAATCATACTCATGGCAAATCTCGTGCCATCTTGAATGAGAGTTCCCTTTGAGTCCTATATATGATACTCCTGTTGTTGCTCCTACTGCTGAAGCTACAATCCCGAACAAAAGCTGCATGAACCATGCACATTAACTACAAGTTCGTAACTTGCTAAGAATAACTTTCGATGGAATGAAAACTGCTTGTTACACCACAATTAATAAAGTCGTCTTTACAAGACGCCAAATATGTTTAAATGTCCAAATAGACTATCTTATAATATCAAGTAATTGTCTGTCTTACATTAAGGTGTTATAAAAGGATTTTTCTACGTATTTGAGATTCCTCACAAATTGTTTAGACCACTTTTTAAATAAAAGGTTATATATTGTAACGCCTTTTATATATGATACACAATTATTTGATTCAATAAACTTAAGTCCTATAAAACAACTTATCGGGATATTTAGGCATGGTTCAAGATCTTACAGAATCCATGATCACCATGTAAAACTGCCGCTTTCCCGAGCTTCCTCCGGTCATCTTCATGAGAGCTAAAAGCGACGAGGCACCAGTAACGATGCTGTACAAGAAAGCTACTGAAAGTGCTGCTACATAGTATCTGCATGAAAAAGAAGAACAATAATATCATATGAGTTCTAGCCTTCTTCTAGGGTTTATATTTGAGCCAAAGGTCAGTGGTTGGTGCTACTTACGTGTAAGATGGGGAGTGATTGAATTTTGCATCCAAGGGTACAGCCATGGTGGGCGAAATGGGTATCAGCTCGGTTTGTTTGGAAGTGACCATAACTATGACACCAGCCAAACTGGTTACACACAGCAACGCCCTCAAAATCCCTTCAACCACCCCGTGGCCATGGCCCTTGATACCACCGTCACCTGTGGCCGCCTTGTACTCCGGCGGTGGTGGTGCTGACGACTTTATTGGTATTTCCATATCAATTGTCGCATGTGGAGGAGGAGCTGTGATGTCAATGGCTGACATGGCCAAGGTACGTAGATAGAAGCAAAGTAGAGCTTGTGTTTCTTGCAGGTGTTGTTGGGATGCCACAGCATTATATTTATAGGAAGCTGAATGCCACCTGATCTGATTTTGTTTAGATTTGAATCATTTTCTTGTAAATATATATGATGTAATCTTTATTACAACATTAAATTTAAATATAATGTCTACCTATAAAATAGCTGGGTAATCTGACATTGATTTAAATTACCCACCAACAATTTATCCACTAACTTTTACGACAAATCACCATTTAGTGATTGATTTTCCATGGAAAAGTACTTATGCAAAAATCTTCTGTTAATAGTGATATATTTTTTCACTAGTGATAAATTATTATTTTTTTAATTTGCATTATTTTAAAAAACAAGCATTCTATGAAAAGATACTTCTCAAAAAATGTTTTATCAACTTAGATATCACTTTTACTTAGCACTTGTATAATTGTTCCATAAAGTAGTTTTACATCTAATAAACTCAATTTCGTTGTAGTCCTCTCTCTAATGACTCTTCTGTACAGGCCTAGCACTCTTACTATTATCTATGTTCGTCTAGCCTCTTGAGTAGGGGTGTTCATGGGTTGGGTTGATCGGGTTGATGACATTTGAACAATCCAACCCAATGCTGGTGATTTGGAAAAATCTTAACCCAAACCAAAGTGCAACCCAACCCAACTCAATCCGTACGGGTTGGTCGGATTGATATTTGGTATATTAAAATATTCTTCTAACCTTTAATATGTTATTTCTCTACTCATAATTTCTTTTTCATCATCAACCATTTGATACAACTTATTCATATTTCTTACGTATATCACATTCAGTTAATTTTCTTAATTTACATATATATGTTCACAGTTACTGAATGAGTTATATAGAGATATGAATAGATTGAAAATATGTGTATATGAAAAGCATACATGATAGTGTAATTGTCTAATATATATATTAATAGAAATTCAACAATCATATTAAATCGAAGAAATAAAAGGATATCGGGTTTATCGGGTTCAAATAATAGTAACCTAATATCAACCCAATACCATACGGTTTGACAATTTTACAAATCGATTAGACATCGGGTTGCTTCAGATTGGGTTATTTCGCATTGGGTTGGGTTGATCGGGTTGGTCGGGTTTTTGAGCACCCCTATCATCTCATCTCATCTCATCGACCCGTTAAAAGGGGTGTGTTTAAATCTTACATCAATTAGAATTGAACCATTTCTTTTTGATATATGTTGGAGGGTTCTTTTAGAAAGTATTTATTGTAATAGATTCCACATTAAAATATGGTATTCAACATTAATAACTAGTTTGAAAGTCATTTAAAAAAAGTGTCGTTCATGCTTTTTTTCCCAAATAGATGGATGGATAAGGGAAACACATTAATTGACTACCGCCATCCGTTGTTGAACAAGAAGGGTGTAGGCCGCCGATTCTATAACTCAGTACATATGACACTAGCAGACAATGATCAGGTCGTTGGTTGTTTTCAACTATTTAGCCTAACTTCCACTTCCACCTACTTATGGAAATATTGTGTTTGCTTTACGGTTAAGTTTAATATAAAGAACGCACGATATTTGATCTTATTAAACTTAACTGTAAAACAGTTCATTAAGACATTTAATGACATACATATATAAGGGTTGAGTTAACAGTGAGAATGATTACCATGGGATCTCCTTGGATCAATCATAATTGAAGAGACCACTACTCTAGATATATTAAAGCGTCGCAATAAGTTTATACGTACGACGGTTTTGGACTTTTTAACAAATTTTTTACTTCACTTTTTTATATGATAAAATGTTGCATTAACTTTTTTAAATGACACCTTTAAGAAGCGCCCTGCGCTTTTACTATTTCAAAAATGCTCTTAAAATACTTGTTAAGACGCCATATATATCATATAAACTTGTTACCATGGTTTTACATAAAAATCACAATTGTTTGGTTCTAATTAAATATAAATTTCAAGTTTTATAAACAATCTATTAGAACACCCAGACTTTTTAACGTCTTATAAACTTGATTCTCTGTTGTAATGCTTGTATCCAACTGATCATGTGAACTTGGAGTTCCTTCGCAAAACTTCTTGTAGACTTGTTAAGGTGCTTGTAAAATGTGATTTAAATTTCACCAGTCTGATCATGGAGTTTAACGAGACTTCTGCAAGTGGCTCAAAAGTCATGCACATAGGGAAGAAACTCTCGGTACATATCGAGTTTGAACCACACTTACAATTTACAAGTTCACAAACACAACATTATATACAACTTTTGTGGTCGCTTAGCAAGTCAACTACATGTACTATGAGAAAATTCACAGTACAAGAAAGGCTCGATCATACTAGACTTTGTGATGTCATATATAACGTCGCCTAAGTCTATTTCTTTAGCCATTGGTATGTGTATGGCCCAACTTACACGTACCTCGACTAAGTAATCTCATAAGTCCTTGCATGGAGAATAGTCGAGAAAATCGCACCAACTGTTTTAATGTTGTATTGTCTTTTTTAGGTGGAAAGTGTAGTTGTCTCAAGAATACAGTATCCATATTGTTGGGACTTAGTCCCCCTCTGCATAAATACAAGGAAACTTGTCATTATGTGTAACTTTTCATTCCCTTCATCTTTATTTTATTTTGTGGGGTTGTCTTTATATTCAAATAAGGTATCCCTCTATATGAACACGTGAATTCTAACTACCACAAAATCGTTTATTTTATATCAAATCGTCCATGAATTTGATATGGATCAAACAAGCGAATATCCGTTGCAATCCATACATGTACATGAAATAAGCACTATTTTTTTAACCCATTCACATGTGAATATACATTAATAACCTTGATCAAATACGAAAAATTGCACTCGAACATCATAAACCGATAAAAAATATTTACCCGTGAAAATTAACTACCACAAAACCATTACTTGACATCAATTCGCCCCAAACTTGATACACACTCATTTGCATGTACATTTGATAACCACTCTATATTGTTTTAACTCATTCTCATATGGACATCTATTAATATCTCATGCAACAAAATCTTTTTATTTTCCGAAAGGATTTCTCCTGGCTATATAATAACCAAAAAAACAATGAAACAAAAAGTCTAGGAAAAATGCCATAAACCAACAAAAAAACAAAAAAAAAAAACTTGGTAACAACCCATACCGAGCAACAAGCAACCAAAATAAGCAAAGAGAGATTATATAGATGGAGGTAATAAACAAAAGTGCCATCTACCATCTCCAACGCATCCACCAGCAAAGAAACCGGTCTTTGAAACCAACAAGATCATCCGGCTTCCACATTGATTTTTGCAGAGTGTCTATTTCTGTTCTTCCAAGCCATCCGCGTCATAACCACTTTTCGGATCTCACTCATAATAAGAGTCGCTGGCCTTTTTGATTAGAGAAAATCCGCATATTCCTTTCTTGCCATATATAATAAACAACGGCCGCCGAAGAAAGCCTTTGTATCATATTCCAAGCCATACCTTGAGTTCCTGATATTGCTCCCAAGATGTCATTCCACGAAACCCAAGTTCCAGTCATCCCAACATCCTGCTTCACAACATTCCAGACCTCCATAGAAAAGCCACACTCAAAGAAACGATGGTTGTCGGAGTCTATAGGTTTGGCACAAAAAGCATCTAAATTAGGGGGATCATGCTTCCATGATCTCATTCGATCCTGAGTAGGAAGACGTTTTTGATAGGCTAGCCAAAGACAAAAGGCATGTTTAGGAATAGTACAAGTCTGAAGTAATATCGTACTTTCGATGATCATTCATAGTACAAGTCTGAAGTAATATCGTACTTCAGAGTTATTTTAATAGTACAAGTCTGAAGTAATATCGTACTTTCGATGATCATTCGTATCTGTAAGATAAATTTTCTGACATGATTTAATTTTTTTAAAATTATCTCGTGTAATATATGGGATCGAACCTAATTTTTTCTATTGTTATATGTTTAATAAGATTTTAGCTTATGTATGTAAGCTGTTGATCCTCTCTCTCAGTGATTTGATGATAACCACTTTTACCTTATACGAAGTGTTAGTCCCGAAGGGAATGACAATAAACAGAAAGTAATTATAGAAGGGGGGGGGGTTGAATATAATTACACAGACTTTTTTCAACTTTTTAATTCTTATTGATTTATATCAAGAATTAATACACACAGAAATACAAAAGATTGTTGCGGAAGTTAGGAAAGGAAAACCTAACCTAAACAATCTTACAAGGAAAAGAACTTTAAAGAACAACACAAAGAGTTCTTAAAAGGAAATGAAGAACACTAAGAATTTCTTCGCACACAGGAGAGCAAGGGAGAAGAAGAGAATAGCCGATTGCCTTAAGAATTCACTAAGTAATCTTTCAAAAGCCAGTTGTCTGCATGGGAGATGCACACTGCCTTTTTATACTACCTTCAGCATTTAATGCATGGGGACACTTGTCACCTGATGATAAGAAGGCAGGGGTTGACTTGACCAATGTTGATATCTCATTTTCATCGTACACAGCGTRCATACAACAYTGTTCATGCARAGACAAACTTTGCAGAGATATGGTCAGTCTRTAGRAAGATCTTCTTTGGATGGATATGTAGCTTCAAGCAGCTACTCACAAATCTTCGGTCCAKGAAGATTTTYAATCTTTGGTTCATGAAGATCTTCAATCTTGGGTCCATGAAGATTTTTCAATCTTCGGTCCATGATCTTCAATCTTGAGACCATGAAGATTTTTAATCTTCGTTCTATGAAGATCTTCCTTCAATCGGCTTGTAACTTCAAAATATTTTCAATATTCATTTTCAGCTACTTTGGAGTCTTGGTGTGTATATTAGACAGTTGATCCACAACACCGTATCGGTGACTTTCTGTCTTCACATCAGCTAGTCTTCGATTTTGCCAATGGCTTAAGTATGCACCAAAACACCAATATACAAAGAACCAATAACTACT